ACCGCAGTCGACTACATGGGAGCCCAGCGACACAGCCATTACGCCATCTGCTGGTCCCAAGGACTAGCATGATTTTCAAGCTGCCAGCTCCAGGAGTTGAACTGCAGTCAGCCATGTGGGAGTCCAGCGCCTTAGCCACTACACCACCTGCAGGCCCCAGAGCAGGCGCTCCAGGTACCCGCTGTAGCACTGGCGAGGTAGAGCGGGTGACCTGGAGTCAGGTCTGTGAGCTGGTCACGGATGCGCATGGAGATGGCCGGAGGGAGGACAGGCCCACCCCCAGCTCTGGCCTGCAGCTGTAGAGGGCTCAGGGGAGAAAGGAGGGTTAGCTGGTTAGCAGCCGAAAGGTCTCAGCAGCCAGGGGACGTGGGTGGGGTCCCTCCTTTCCCTCTCAGTCTGAGCCATCGCAGCCAGGCACCCTGGGCGCTCCCAGCAGCTTCCTCTCTGGACTCAGTTCTGCTCAGCACGAATGGCTTCTAGCTTATCACTCCCCTCCATCAGACCTGTCTCCACTGGAAAACCTTGGAGAGCCCCCCTGCTCCCCAGGATGAAAACGAGAAACTTGGGGAGTGCAGGGGAAATTCATACCAAAAGTCCCAGCTGAGGAAGCAGGCTCCGTGCTGCCCACGCCCCCACAGGGCTTCAGCCGTATTCCATGGCTTCCAAACCCCCAACCATGGTCTTGCTGGGCTTCCTGCCTGCAATGCTCTCCCTTTCAGCCATACTTGCTGAAACTTTTTAAAAACTATTTTATTTAACTTTATTTATTCATTTATTTCGATTTGACCAGAGAAGGGTAGAGTGTGTGTGAGAGAGCGAGAGAGAGAAAGCAAGCCTCCAGGTCCAGGACTCGAACCACCATTGGCCATGTGGGAGTCCAGCACCCCTAACCACCAAACCACCTGCTGGCCCCAAACTTTTTTATTTTTAAAGAATTATGAATTTAGGGGCCAGCAGGTAGTGTGGTGGTTAAGGGCACTGGACTCCCACATGGCCGATGGCGGTTCGAGTCCTACGCCTGGTGGCTTGCTTTCTCACTTTCCCTCTCTCTCTCACTCACTCTGTCTCTTTCTGGTCAAGTTAAAATAAGTAAATAAATAAAGTTAAATAAAATTATTATTATTTTTTTGAGATGTTTTCGCTATAGGGCACGTGCACTCGCCAGACAGACAGAGAGAGACAGAGAGACAGAAAGCAAGAAATCACCCCCCAGGGGGGATGGTCACACTGCAATCCCTTCTCCTCCATTCTCCTCTGGGGATCTTGGGCACGCACGCACACACGCCCGGCGTGAGTTTTAAGCCACCGGCTCCGGGATGCGAACCGCGGTCAACTACATGGGAGTCCAGCGACATAGCCATTACGCTAACTGCTGTTCCCAATATGTTTTTTAGATTATTATAAGTAAAAGAAGAGTCATTCACCTTCTGTCATTATCAGGGGTGATGGAGCTGGAGGGGCAGTACCAGGGCTCAGGTTCTGGAGACAGTAGGATTGAGCACAATAATTATTTTTGTTTGTTTTGGGTTTATTTTTAATAATAATAATTATTATTATTTTATTCACCATTGTTATCTCTTAAATTTGACCAGAGAGAGAGGGAAAGTGAGAAAGCCAGACACTGGGTGAGACTCAAACTGCTGTCGGCCATGTGGGAGTCCAACACCTTAACCACCACACCACCCGGTGGCCCCGAGCAGAGTAGTTCTTAGTAGTGATGGATGGAGAAAAAAATCTTTGACAGTGGGCGCCAGGAGCCAGGACAGCAAGCCCCACAGGAGAGACCACGCACAGCTGTGGGTGGGGCTCCAAATACTGGGCGTGGCTCTGGGGCATTGGGCGTGGCTTCGGGACACTGGGCGGGGTCAGCAGCCGCTTCTCTTCTCACAGATCCAGCCGTCCCTCTCATTGTCACACGGCGCATCATTCCACAAACCCGTGTGCAGCATCATGACACAGTCCTCACGCCCCAGGGAGTCATTGGGCTCCCCCTGGTTCCAGTGGCTGCAGGGGTTGAGTGGGGCATTGCTGGGAGCCTAGGCCGAGGGGTAGCTCTGGGGTCCAACTTTCCTTCCCAGGTTCTAGCCTGCTTATTGCTTGGTTCTACCTGAGGCACTCCAGGTAAACTGAGTCCTAGAATACACCAGGACTAACTTCCTAATGCCCAGAATGTTAATGCTCAGTCAGTTTCTGGGGTGTGGCCTGCCCATCTCAACAACCTAGTCCCAACCAAGGAGTCCCTGTTATGTGGCCAAAGCACTTCCCCCCTAGGGTCTTACCTGTCCTCCTCCCCAAGTCTTGCCAGAAACACAACTCTTACCTGAAGCTGAGTGGGACTCCATCCACCCATTGGTAACTCTGAATCTTGCGAGCTCGGCGCACAGCCCTCAGGCCCAGCCAGTAACCACGCCCACGTGTATTCCGAGTCAGGAAGACCTGCAAGGAAGGGGAGTCCAGAGCTGGGAGAAGCCACACGGTTACACCCATCTCCTCCACGCCCAGTCCAGACATGCTCCCACTGCGCACCTGCTCCTCCAGGTCCCCTACAATGACCAGGTGAGCTCCAGCACCTGCGCAGTGACGCTGTGCCTCCTCCCACGCGGCCTTCGGAACGGAGAAAAAGTAGCAGGAGCCCTGGTAGGGCAGCCATGACTTGGGACACGGCTGGCAGGAGCCTGCAGGAAGGAGGGGGGCGGGGATCAGAGAGGTGAACAGGCGGCTCCAGGTGGATCACATTGAGGTGTTGTGGGGTGTGGGTGTTGGACACCTGCGCCCAGGGGAGAGGATCCACGGAGACCAGACCAGGGTCAAAAGGTGAAGTCGGATAGATGGGGGAACCTTGAGACCCACGGCAGGGTCTGCTTGCCCCGTCTCCCTTCTTGCTTACTGTTCTGAAACCTGACGGCTTCCAGCGCCCGGAACAGCTCACTGCGGACGTCCTCACGGTCCCTGCCTGCTTCAGCCAAACCCTTGGTCACTGCGGGGGTCAAAGGAGTCGAGATTATACCTGGGGTCAGGGTCAGAAGAAAGGCCACGGCTAGGTGCCAGGGTCAAGAAAGACATGAGGGTCACAGCCTGCCGGAACTAGGTAGGGTCCAGGCATGGTTGGGGTTAGGCGTTGTAGCCAGGGGCAGAGGATCAGATTGGGGGCAGGAACGATCGGGGTCAGGGGTCATGGTCACAGGCTAGGGTCGGGGTCGGTTGGAGTCACAGTGGCCCTCACAGCGCTCGCGCAGCTCTTTCAGGGCGCTTTCCTGCTCGATCAGCTTCGCCTGTGCCTCCCCAAGCTCAGTGCGCGCGCTCTGCAGCTGCACCTGCGTGGCGGAGCCTGGAAAGAGCGGCGTGGGGGCGGCGCCCCAAAGGCGAGATGGGCGGGGCTTCCAGACACC